GGCAAGTCACTTACCCTCATTGCCTAACCAAAAACAGGGGAAAAAAAGAATGAGTTAAGTAGAAACCAAAAAATTATTTATATAACTACAGTAACTTAAAGGAAAACATCACTGGATGTCTTCAGAACTTTGATAATGCAGTGGCTTACTGTGACAGACTATAGGGGACTAATAATGAAAGGTGTCTCATTCCTCTGGATGAAGACAGAGTAGCTGCGTCAAACTCTGGGCCAAGGGCAAAACTTCTGAATGCACCCTAACTCGAATTAAAATGCAATTGGAAAATGTTTAATAAGAGCAATTTAAAATACAATACAACATAGATAATGTTAATTTGTGGGATTTCTAAGTCAAAATGTGACCTGCAAGGATCCTGTTTCTATTTTATTTGGCACCACTGGTACTGAAAAGGCATACCTTTTCAGACAAGGCCACTGTGCAGATTTGCTATGCTCAACTGTATTTATTTGTTGCAGTGGGGGGAAAGGGAAAGGGAATCACTAGTGTCAGCAATTGAGGGGAAAGAGCATCAATAAAACATTTTTAATAATAAAGAAAACATGACATGACAAAACAACACCACATGAAGTAATTAGCTCATAATAATAATGTCTAAAATGAAATGTAACTCTTAGGTGGCCAGAATTTGGAAAAAAATGACAGTGATCTTCTTAAAAACCTGAGACGCTGATATGGCTACACAGGGTCAAGATGCTTCAAAAAGCTAATTAACGCTCTGAAAATCTGAAATACCAAGTCATTAAAGGAACTATGGAGGTTTGAAGCTGGTAGCCAGTGAAATGATCTAGGGAGGAGAGAAGCTTGTCTTGAAGACAAAAAATAAAATTTCTAATGACATCCTGGAAAATTATTTTCTCCTCAGAAGTCCCCTAAGCATTAGCTTAAGATTTAGCTAGAGATGACAGTTCTCAGATGAGTCTGGGCATTGTTTCTCAAAAAAGAAAAACAAAGCCTAGCACATAAATAACTCTGTTGTCCACAGCTGAAGAAAGAACAATTCATCTCTCTCGAAGAATAGAAAAATAGCGAAGTACTGAACCCTAGGAAACAATGTAGTGTATATGGTGGGATAAAGTTGGAACCTGGGATTTCAGGAGCCAACTCCTCTGTCTCTCTTGCTTTCCAATCCAATAAACATTTATTAAGTGTCTACAATATGCCAGACACTGTGCTAAGCACTGGTGATACAATTAATAAAAACAAAGACAGTCCTTTTTCCTCCTGGAATTACAATCTAAAGCATCATTAGCTTCAAGGGATCAGTAGAACAATGACTTTTAACTTATGAAAAATAGGCTAAATTTTTAATTTCAAGATTTGTCTGTCCTTTTCTTTTACGTTCTAAAAGATTCAACAAATTCAACTCAATAAACATTTATTAAGAATATTTACGCCTCAGAAATTGGCAATCACCACAAATGAGTGCTTGATTTATTGTTTTGCTGATTTTCTAAACTTAGGAAAGTGTTAATGATGCAGATTAGATTTAGAAGTATATATATATATATATATATATATATATATATATATATATAAAATATCCACCCCACCCCAGTCTGGTTGTTAAACATTTACTATCACACCTCTATATTTCTCTATAAATATCCCTTGGGCTCAGTAGGAGTGCAGTAGAAGACTCAGGAAATAAAGTCATCACCACATGACAAGATAATAAGAAGAAGGAGGAGGAGGAGAAGAAGAAGGGGAAAGAGAGGCTATTAGCTTGGAGGTAACCAGAAGAATAGTAGTGCCCTCAACAGAAACCGGGAAGTTTGGAGGGATTACTTTATTTTTCCATTGTAAAAAGAGGTCTACTTTCTTCATATAAAATTATTAACCCCTTTCTTTGATCTTTAAAACCCCAAATGAAGAACAAAGTCTCATTCTTGGCAACATGGTTAAGTTGGGCTGGTCTCTGAGGACTGTTTTGGAGCCCCATCTCTAGAGTGGGAATTTATAAATGAATTTGCAACATTTTGCAAAGTAAAATTGGTCAGGGCCACTTTATATGGGTCAAAGAATATAAGGGTAGTCCTGAAGGAAAAACAATGCAAGAAACCTACGTGCCAGTCCTGGCTTTGTCACCTACTAGCTGTGTGACATTTGGAGAGTCATTGGATATCTCTAGACCTCAGTTTTCTAGTCCAAAGAAAAAGGTTGGATTAAGGAGTTTCTAGGTCCTTTTCTGCTCTAAAAGCCTGTGATTATCATGTAAGAATCCTATCTTTAAAAACAAACAATAGGAAAAATAGGGCTCAAGCCATTTGAAGAGTAAATAATAACTGTGGCCTTAGATAATTCTCTGAATATTTGAGGAACTCATTTGGTGTCCTCTGATACTGCCACCACCAAGTATAGGCCCTCGTCACCTTACACCTAGACTACTAGGATAGCTTGCTGTTTGGTTCCCCTGCTATAAGTGGGCTATGCCACCCCTCTACTCAATAACTTTTGAGGCTTCCTATTACCTCTAGAATCAAATATAAAATCCTGTTTGGCATTCACAGCCCTTCACAACTTATTCACTCCTTTCCAGTTTTCTTATGCATCACACCCCCCCCCGCCCCAGTACCCTGCAGTCCAATGACACTGACCTTGCTGTTCCTCTAATAAGATACTTCATCCCTGAACTCTGTGCATTTTCACTGATTGCCCCTCATGCCTGGAATATTCTCCTGACTTATCTCTACCTCTTGGCTCCCCTGGCTCCATTCAACTCCCAGCTACAATCTTCACTTTTACAGGAAGTTTTGCCCTGTCCTCCTCAATTGTATTTTGATTATTTTTTTGATTATTTCCAATTAATCCTGAATATAATTTGATCGTACATAGTTGGCTGTCTGTTGTCCCCCCTGTTAGACTATGAACTCCTTGAGAGCATGGGCTGTCTTTTACCTTTCCTTGTATCCCCAGAACTTAGCATAGTATCTGACACATGCTAGGTGCCTAATGTATATTTCTTTATTCACTTTGTTACTGACCTTCTACATTTGGCATCTCCTGGGCCAAAGTCTAGCTCATCTGCCCTGCTCAGAGTCTGCCATTGGTAGTGATGGTACCAGTAGTTATCCAAAGACCACAACACCAGTATATCCATTCCATTAGAACAGGGGTTCTTACCCAGGGGTTCATGAACTTTAAGAAAAACGGACAATTATCTTTTAATATAATTTATTTCCTTCATAATCCCGTGGATTTTATTTTTTGCATTTAAAAACATTATTCTGAGAAGGCTTCATCACACTGCCAAAGAGGCCTTGGAGACTATAAAGGGTTAAGAAGCCCTGGTTTAGAAATAAGGTGAGAAGCAAAACCTTTAAAGGAAGAAACATTTCCCTCTTGTTAGGGCAAGGCATTTATAGCTAAAACAAAATATGTGAAAATTCTAGAACAGAACCTAGTTAAAAAGTAATTCATGCCCAGTACAGTCCTATTCTGATGCCTCATTGTAGCATGGGGTGACCCTGGGTTCTTGAAATAATGCCAGTGAAATAAAAAATACATACTGGCAGGTTTTACCAAGCTGGAAGGCTTCGAATATGAGCCTGGCAGCAGATGCACAATCTGTCATTTCAGGACCAGCCTGGAGAATTTCAGAAAGGCTCCTTGTCAAATCCATAAACCTTGTTGTTTAGGAGGAATAGGAATGGAGATGGGTGAATAGGCTTGGTGTTTACTGATGAATTGGAACAATTAGTCACAAGAATCCCCTTGGAGAAAGTTGTGAACCTAGGCCTGATCCCAGAGGCAACTAGGTGGTGAAGTGGATAAAAGGCTGAGCCTGGAGTCAAGAAGACCCAAGTTCAGATGCAACTAGGTGGCACAGTGGGTAGAGCTCCAGCCTTGGAGTCAGGAGGATGTGAGTTCAAATCCAATCTCAGACACATGAGACTTACTAGCTGTGTGACCCTGGGCAAGTCACTTAATCCCAATTGCCTCACCAAAAGAGAATAAAAAAGATCCAATTTCAAATCTGATCTTATGCACTAGCTGTGTGAACCTGAACAAGCTGCTTCATGTCTACCTGACTCAGTTTCTTCAACAGTAAAATGGAGATAATAACAGCACCTACCTTCCAGGGCTGTTGTAAGGATCAAATGAAATAAAATTTGTCAAGTTCTTAGCATAGCACTAACTATAAATGCTTGTTCCTTCCTTCCCAGAGAGTAAGCTCTTATGCCTCCTCCATTTTGGTTGATGTGACAACCAAATCTAAGGGGAGAAAGCAAAACTGAGGACGTCAGCATAAATTCATACCATGAAGGCATTCAGTAGGTATCAGTGAAATGGAGACTGCGTCTTCAGCAACTTTCCCACTGAGTGAGCATTCTGCCAATGCAACAATGCCATATCCATAGTCCCACATCACTCTGATGCCTTGGTGTAACTGTGGTCTTGAATACTGACCACCAGGAATGAATTTCTCTGGTCAGAGCAACTCATAAAGTCTGTCTACTAGCACTAGCCCTGAAGTGAGGAGGACCTGAATTCAAATTCGGCCTCAGACCAAACACTTGACACTTAATAGCTGTGTGACCCTGGGCAAGTCACTTAACCCCAATTGCCAAAAAAAAAAAGTCCATCTACTGAGGCATGTGAGGGTGACAATAGGTGTCCCCTGAGGGAATGATTATCCACACTCAAGAAAGTATTAATCTTTTAAAATAATTGGCAAGATGTGTGTGGTGGAGCTTGCCTGAAATTCCTGCTACTGGGAAAGGCTGGGGACTAAAGCTGATTAGGTGGCCATGAGCTGGGGGAGTAGGGCTATGCCAGGCTGCTCAAGAAGGCTCAGGCTAGCCCAGGTCAGAAATGGAGCAGATCAAAGTTCCCATGCCAATTAGCAGTGGGATCAGCCATGAGTGGCAGCTGCGGCTCTGTGCCTCTCCCAGTTTTAGGACCTAGGGCCCTTGGCCAGGCTTCCCTGTCAGCCCCACTAACAATTCAGAAAGGGTGATCGGCCAGATGTTAGAACCAAGATGTACAAACTGGTGGTGATGGGAAGCTGTGGTGTGGGCAAGAGTGTGCTGAGCATCCATTTCCTTCAGAACCGCTTTGTGGCTGAGTATGAGCCCACAGCTAGAGACTTGTACCATGGTGTGGCAGTGGTGGACAGGGAGCCCTGTGAGCTGGATATCCTGGCCATGGCAGGAGATGAGAAGTACTTTGAGCAGGGTGAGGACTTGGGAGAAGGCTTCCTCTGCATCTACACTATTGACTACATTAAGACCTTTGTGGAAGTGAATTTCTTCCAAGACCAGCTACAAAAGGTCAAGGGCACCACCCTGGTGCCCATGGTGCTGATGGCCAACAAAATCAATGAGGCCCACTGGCTGGTAGACTTGGACATGGGTTCGGGAAGTGGGCAAAAGCCTCAGGTTGCCCTTTGTGAAAGCCTTGGCCAAGACCTCGGCATGGAGCACACCTTCAAAGAACTGGTTCGAGAGATCCTTCAGATGCACACTGAGGAGAAGCTCAAGGGCCACTAGATGCTTGGGAGAGGAAGAGCTTTGGGTTTAGCCACTGCACAATCCTGTGAGCAGATGCACCCGTTCCCCTTGGTCCTTCTGAGCTTCAGGGATACCCCAACCTCCCCCGACCCCTCCCCAGCCTCCGGGCTTCCATCTGGACCTGTCCTTCTGTCTGTCTGCTCTTCTATGGACTCTCCCAGGGTCATGGCCTCTTCACAAGCCTCTTGGTGGGACTCACCAACATTTCTCCTTGGGAGACTCCTGGACTGGGCTTCTCTGTACCACCTTGGGACCACTGGTCAAAAGGGCATGTAGGCAAAGCTCCTATTTCAATGGAGAGGATTCTAAGGATTCTAAAGCTGCCTGGTTGGGGTGGAGAGGGAGAAAGGGACTTCCTTTGTTCTCTGATTCAAAGTTGGCTATTTTTCCTGTTTTAGGATTTATTACAAAGGTTGGTTTATTTAAAACTTATTTATTGTTTATTTAAAAAAAGAGTGGTGGATGTGCTTCAAGCCTGAGTTACATAAGGAGTCCTAGTCTCAAAAGATAATCATAAATATAGTAATAGGCGAGCTTGTCCCCTTTGCAGAGATACAGAAATGGGATAGATAAGTATGAAACATTTCCTATGTTGTCAAGCTCCACTGATAATGTGGGCTAGTTTTTTTTTTCCTTTTTAAAATAGATAGCTTTTTGGGGAGACACCGAGGAGGAAAATATTCATAAATGAAAATGATACGAAACCAAAAGATAACAATAAATTCTTTAATTAAAAAAAAACAAATTGGTGACAAGATGAAAAAGCAAAGATTTTAAGAGGTATGTTATTGGATAGAGTTTCGCGTGAAAGTTATACAGAAAGATCCTTGGGGAAGAACATGTTCTAATTTTGTATAAGGCAAAAGCTCAGAAAACATCAGCAGACCCTGGATTGTTAGAGCATTGCTTGTCTCTAACCTAGATTTGTGTCTGTCATTGTCCCACTCTGGACCCAACTCTTTGGGCTGAGGAAGAGGCTACAAAACCGCCCACATCAAGGCAATCACAACATTGGTTCCAACCTGTTGGCCTTGTGCCTCTGGGAGCCAAATAATTATTATAAAGGCTCTGCGGACCCCTATGTATGCCAAGCATTGCCTTGCATTTCTGGGCAGCTACATGATGCAGTAGGTAGAGCAGTGGGCTCCAAGTCAGGAAGATATGAGTTCAAATCCATCCTCATACATTTATTAACTAGTCATGTGACACTAGGTAAGTAACTTCACCTCTATCTGCTTTAGTTTCTTTATCTACAAAATAAGGATAACAGGAGTATCTACTTTCTAGGGTTAATATAAAGGCAAATTGCAAACCTCAGAGTACTCTACAAATGCTAGTAATATTGTTTTTTAAATCTTTAGCTCCAACAAATTTTACAGCTTGAGCTAGGATAAAAAATAAGCAAACATATGTTCCATAGACTGAATGAACATATCTTGCACATATATGTATTACTATTTTCCAAATAGATTTGTATTTGTAGATGAAGCTGAAATTAATAAAATATGATTTCATTAAAACCTATTGCATTCTAAGAAGGTTTTCATTACATATTTTCTCAGGCAATGGATACTAATGTAAATACCTGTGATTTTTATGTAAAAAAAAGAGTCCTTCTGCCCAAAAAGTTCAGAATTATTGAATTAGAAAAAGTATCTAGTTAACCTTGGCAAATTGAATGGTAATATATACTAGGAAACATAGAACTCCCAAAGCTGGTGCAAAGAGGTTATTGTCGGTAAACTTTCACTCTGTTGGATTGAGGGAAAGTCTAGTTTCTTTGTTTTGTCTCTTTGCCTTGCATTCACAGATTCTAGAACACTCCCTTGTACAAAGTATCTTAAGTACTGAAGAAGTGTCTGTTGAATTTCATAGAATGAAAGGCAAAGTCCATATCTCTGAGACTCATCCTCTCCCCTTCCCCCATTTTCTTTGACTTGGATGTGGCAGAAACTGCTTCAGTGAGACAAAGTCACATATTTCCTTCTTCAGATTATTGATTTGTTTTGAGAGTGAGGTGTGTGTGTATGGCAAGGGGGAACCTGGGATTTCATCCACATGGGAACTGTTGTGTAGAAACTTCCCTCCCCTAATCAATCAATCAAATAATTATTAGTGCTCATTAGGTGCAAGGAAAACAAGTACAAAGAATGAAGTAATCCTGACTCACAAGAAGCTTATATCCTAATGAGAGAGAGAGCTTACAAGTACATATGAAGATGTATGCAGCATACATATAAAGTGAGAAAATAAATAAATAACTCCTCTGATAACTAGCAGCTCAATTCATTTGCAGCTTATGCTTTCAGGATTTTGAGCCTTTTTATGTGTCACGGACCTCTTTAGCAGTCTGATGAAGCCTATAGATCATTTCTCAGAATGGTGATTTTAAGTGCAGAAATGAAAATCACATAGGAAACCAACTGTATTGAAATACAGTTATTAAAAAAATATGTAAAACAAGTTCAGAGACCCCCAAGCCCTTGCTCTAGAGAGTTTTCTGAGACACTGAACAGACAAAGACAGTTCTTGCAGCCAGGTTTCCCTAATTCTAAGACCAGTCCCCTATCTAGCACACCTCACCTACTCTCAGGGCTTTTATTATGCTAAGATTTTTGCTTATTTTAATTAAGATTCATTTTATTTGGTATGCTTTTATTCAGAAGTTCAGTAGGATCATAATAAGGTTGGATGAGGTGACTCTTAATATGTCACATGATAGCCTTGGCCCCTCACCAGCCAGTCAGCTCCACAATGCATGCGCTGAACCGTGGTGCTTCCACTCATCCCCTATGTTCTGATGATGAAGGCCAAGAGTTAATTTCCTCCTTTCGAGGCATATTTCCCTGGAAATGTTGGTCTCCAGAACTGCATCTGTAGTGTTCCCTACCTATAGTCCCATGATATTGGAAACAGGCTTGGTAGATGAATTCAAAAGTGACACAGGAATCCCATCACTTTCATCTGGATCTGATGTAATTCTAGTCTCTAATTGCCTCTTCATCTTCCTTCGTTTGTCAAGCATTCTTTCAAGACGTTCGTTTACACACAAAAATGATCCATCCGTGGAATTTGTGTTCATATTGTGTGACAACAGATCTCCCATGTGATTCCTATTAGAGATGAAACCCTCATTTCACCTAAAGTTATTGGCATGTCATCTACCCTTCTGGCAGCTAGCAAAGGTTCAGGCCAGAAGGCATAACAGTGTGTCTTTTGGGGAGAACAACAAGTTCTTTCCTGCTTGTTTCCAGGCAGGAAAGAGAAATAAAATGAAATCTTTTCGAACTACAGTTAATTTTCCAGCCTATCTCTCTAGACTGATTCACACCGCTCCCCCTCATATACTCCATGTTCCATCCAGTCTGGCCTACTTCCTGCTTCCCATACACAAAGGTCCATTTCCTCCTCTGAATCTTTGTGTGAGCCTCCTTCTATTCCTTGAATCTCTCCCTTCAAAGTCTGCTTAAATGCCACTACCCATGAGAGATTGGTGATCTCTTCCCCCTCTCCACCTCTACCCCCAAACTGTTGTTGTTCAGTCATGTCCGACTCTATATGATGCCATTGACAAGTCCATGGAGTTTTCTTGGTAAAGTGGTTTGCCATTTCCTTCTCCGCTGTGTTCCCATTTTATAGATTAGGAACTGAGGGAAACTGGGGTTATGTAACTTATCCAGGGTCACATAGCTAGTAAGTGTTTGAGGTCAGATTTGAATTCAGGTCACTCTGACTCCAGGACTAGTGCTTTACCCACTTTACCACCTAGCTGCCCACACCCTGTGACTACTTTGTATTTACTTATCTAATGAACACGAAGCTTTCACTATATAGATCATAGGCTACTTGAGGATAGGGATGATTTCTTTCTTTCTTTCCTTCTTCCTTCCTTCCTTCTTTCCTTCCTTCCTTCCTTCCTTCCTTCCTTCCTTCCTTCCTTTCCTTCATAGCCCCAGTGCTAACACAGTGCCAGGAACATCATATGTGCCTAACAAGTGCTTATTGAATTGATTTAAAGGAAGAAGTCACTAGAGAGGTTCTAAGACTGAGACTAGGCATGCCTCTGTCTCTTCCCTGCTATAATTTGATGCTGAAAAATACTATGAAATAAAGAGCTGATTTATTGGGTTATATATGCAAAATAAGTAATCCATAGTTTATCACCCCAATAGACCCACTATTATCATCTCTGCTTTGCCTCTCTCATAAAGAGTGTTATGCCTGAACAAGTAGAAGGTATCATGGTGGCTTAATACATAATATTTTCTTTTTAAAATGGAAGCAACCCATATCTCAAATGACTTGGGAATGACTAAATAGATTTTGTATATTTATTACATCACAAGAAATGACAACAGAAGCATGGCTTAGGGACAGCAGAATAGAGTCAGGATGAACTGGGTTCAAGTCCCCTCCTCTGACATACACTGGCTGTGTGACTCTAAGCAAGTCATTTAACTCTCAGTGCCCCAAGGCAACTCTCCAATAGTATAAATTAAAGATCATCTGTCAATCTGCCTTAGTAAAGGAAGTTTCCTCTCTGGAAATGTGCTCTGAGTAAAATCTGGAAATGTGCTCCATACCAGTAAAATCACAAGCTTGGACCAAAAGAAAAGAAAAAAATGACAAATATAAAGAATACAAAAAAGAGAAGACTTACCTGAAGTGATACATAATGAAGAAACAATCAGAACTATAATAATAATAACAATAACAACAATAATAACTACACACACAAATACACGGAAGAAAAAGAGATTAGAAAGGTACATAGACATCAATAGGGACTTGTTGTTCTGTTGCTTTTTTAAAAGCTGTTTTTTAAATAAATGGTAAATCATTTTAATTAAAAAATTAATTAATAATTAGTTAAGTAAATTAATAAAATAATTATTTTAAATAGTTTATTTAATAATAACAATACTATATTTATTTAATACTAAATTAAATAATTTAAAATAATTAAATCAATGAATAAA